TTTTTTTTTTTTTGGTACCAGGGATCAAACTCAGGACCTTGCCCTTGTGAGGCAGGCGGTGGAACCACTGAGCTAAATCTCCGGCCCTGTAGTAGTCTTATATAGTCATGGTTGGAAATGATAAAGTTAGGATAGTCACTGCCTTTGGAGAGGGAGTAAATAGTAATGAAAGAGGTAGGGAGCTTTCTTTTAAAATATATTTCTTTTTTTTTTTTTTGTGGTACCAGGGATCAAACTCAGGACCTTGTGCTTGCCAGGCAGGTGCGGCGCCACTGAGCTACATCCCCAGCCTATTTAAAATATATTTCTAAAGAAGATTTGAAGCAAATTTAGCAAAATGTGGGCTTTGGAGTAGCTGTAGGATTTTTTGTGTGCTTGAAATATTTCATGTAAGATTTCTTTTGGTAATCCCAACACTTGGGAGGCTGATGCAAGAGGATTGCCACAAGTTCAAGATCCTCTCAAAACAAAACAAAACTTTTTTTTTTCACAGTACTAGTACTTGAACCTAGAGCTTCTCTCATGCTAGGCAAATGCTCTATTTAAATAGTTTTTTATTTTACTTTTTTTGTTTTTGTTTTTGGTACCGGGGATCGAACTTGGGACCTTGTGCTTGTGAGGCAGGTGGCAGCACCTCTGAGCTAAATTCCTGGCCCCAGTTTTTTATTTTACTTTTTTTGTTTTTGTTTTTGGTACCGGGGATCGAACTTGGGACCTTGTGCTTGTGAGGCAGGTGGCAGCACCTCTGAGCTAAATTCCTGGCCCCAGTTTTTTATTTTACTTTTTTTTTGGGGTACTGGGGATCAAACTCGGGTCCTTGCAGTTGTACAACAGGCGGTGAAACCACTGAGCTAAATCCCCAGCCCGACCATTATTTTATTTTTTTGCAGTGGTGGCTATCAAACCCATGGTCTTGTTCAACTTGGGCAAGCATACTGCTGAGGTATCCCCCCTCCCATATGCAACAATTTTTAGCTGGGCATGGTGGCCCATGCCTGTATTCCCAGCTGTTGGGAGGCTGAGTCAGGAGGATCACCGAGTTAAAAGACAGCCTGGGCTCCATAGTGAGTTCAAGGCCAGCCTGAACTACATAGCAAAATCCTGTCTCAAAAAACAGAACAAAACAAAAGTTTTTAAATGAAGCGTGCAATCTTGTGAGATTCTGAGCTTTCTCAGGTATTCTTCAAGTAGTTGCGTAGAAAACAGTTATATAATATGTATATGTACCAGTTCCCCAAGATGAATGTAATATGTATTGTAAGCATATATTACTGAAACAAATTAAGTAGTAGTGCTTTTTAAGAGAGCTATAAGGGTTCTAAGTGGTATGTTAAATTTATCTGCTTTGTTATTTATGTATCAGTGGAGATATTTTTTGAAAGTTTTGTTTTCTTTTTTGAAGTTTGAACATACTCTTGTAAACTAGAATTAAAAAAAATTTTTTATTAGTACATATTGTGATATAGTGATGACATTCACCTTGGGAGTTTTATACATATACATATTAGAAATTTGTATAAATGCTTATAAATCTTGTCTCATGGTGTTAGTAGGATGCTTTCTTTGACCCTTAGGTGTTTTAAAAGTTTGTTACTTTTGTATTTGTGAGTTTCACTGATGCAAAGTGAATTTTCAGTAAATTCTACATGATTATCAATTCTGCTTCATAACAAATTATCTTTTTTTTATATTCTTGAATTTTACTTCATGATTTGAACTAAATGTATTTCCTACATTTAAAAGGTTATAATTCCTCTTGCTTCTATTTCTTTGTATCTTTCTTTTCCGCAGTATGAAATTAATCTTTTGGAGCTGATCCAGAGAAGAAGAAGAGTAAGTAGATAATTTTCTAGAAGTTGGCTAAAAAGTACAGAATTAAGCAGTATGGGTGCACAGTTAGAACTGAGGTTTGGCAGATGGCGTTGATAAATTGTGACATGCTCATAACGGTTATTTGTAATTGGTTTCTATGTCAGTGTGGTTAAATGATCTTTGGGAATACTATTTTGGATAAATGTGATTAAATTGAAGATTTGGTTTTCATGTCTCCTTTTAGCGCATTAAATATTCATTTAAGAGGGATGAGATTGAGCATTCTATTGTACAGCGAGTACAAGGTGTCTTCCGACGTGCTTCAGCAAAGTGGAAAGTAAGTGATCCAAGTATCTTTAAGAGATGTAAAGACATATACAGTATTAGACATAGTATGAGTTGAATATTTAAATGCATTGTTCTCTATTTCTTGTGTGTCTTAAACTTATTTGAATGAGTTCATTGTTTGAAATGCTTTTTGAGCCGCTTAAACCATTAAGAAAATTGATCTCATTACCTTATTGTTATTCTATGAAGAAAGGTGCTAAAAACAGTCTATTTGATGCACAGAGAAGGATCACCTGGGATGTGTTTGGATATTTGTAAGTGAAGTATCTGAAGACTTGGGTGCAGTACCTCAGTAATGATGGTTTTCAAATTTATTTTGTTTTTGTTTTTTGTTTTTGGTACCGGGGATCAAACTTGGGACCTTGCGCTTGTGAGGCAGGCATTGGAACCACTGATCTAAATTCCTGGCCCTGGTCTTCAAATTTGGTTTGGGGCTGCACATATTACCTGGGAAGTACTTTAGATTCCTGGGAATGACAAATTTTATGTTTCTATACATGTTGAGACTTTTTCAGAGGAGCACTAAACAAATATCCATCCAGACAACAAGGTTTTTCTTGAGTGTGGTAGGCATAATTGGAGTCAGACTGAATTATTGTGGTTCCTCGCTGAGGAACAGACTCATAGGCTGAAGAGTGGTAACACATTGGATCTTCTGGACCTTGACTGTGTTTCTGACTAAGTTAATTAATGCAAAGGTGTATTATGTATAAAGTCAAATTCAGGCAGCTTATTGCACTTCTCTTCTTGCAGGATGATGTTCAGCTTTGGCTATCTTATGTAGTTTTTTGTAAGAAATGGGTGAGTAAAGCCATGTCTTAGTTCTTTCTTTTTAGTCTGCCTTTTAAGCTTCATACTTTGTTCCTGAACTTCATGTTTATTCCAGAGGTGTAGGATTTTAACAAATAGGAAGAGAACCCAGAAAGTCTGAAGGTGAACTTTAGTGTAATTTGTATATCTAAGTTACCAAGTCAGTTGAAAAAGGAAATCATTTTTATGCATATTTGTCCAGTAAAATTTTATTTTATTTTTTATTTTTTTGGTATCAGGGATCGAACTCAGAACCTTGCGCTTGCAAAGCAGGTGGTGGCACTACTGAGTTAAATCCCGAGCCTATTTTATTTTTGCTGTCCTGGGGATTGAATCCAGGCCTTCACACTGAGCTATATCCTAGCTTTCATCTATCTGTCTGTTTTTTTATTTATTGTGGTATTGGT